TGATGACTAACAGGCAACTAATTATTTATTATGCAGCAATAATGCTGAGGAGTGTCTGTCACAGATTAGTCGTACTTAGAGCCTTGCAAACATGGAATAAAGTGGATTTCTCTGCCTCAAAGGGGTTTGCGATCAAAGAACTTAGCCATGATGTATGTTAGCTTTAACTTGAAGATGCTCGTTCCTTGTTGCTTGGTTGTGCTGTAGCCACAGCAGTGTTGAGAACAGAAGGGGCATCTCCGCTGCATCCATGCCATCAGCTGCGTTCACGGTGGGTTGTGTGTCAGAACTCACGAGAGGGGGGACAGTTTTTAGGAGCTGACAGAGATGATTTGTTATGTGGATCTTGCCTAAAGCATTTGTTTTGAATTCGAGAGCCCTGACCAAAAGGTTTTGGGTTTGTTTTGGTTTTCTCTATATAATCTGTACATATCCATGAAAAGGAGGAAAGTCTGAATGTTGTTAGATGAATAATTTGAAAAAATCGAAAGAGCTGAGCTCAGTATGAAGATAAGGTCTGCTCCAACCCAAATGATTCTACGATTCTATAGTTCCTTCTAGTGCTTAAGAAATACGTAAGAATTAACTAAAGTGTGAAGTGACATACAATATTAAGCAGAATCAAGAACACTACAAAATGTTACGAAATATTCCAAATATACTTTTTATCCTGAATTTGCAGTTTTAATTCCAGTCGAAAACCGTGTGCATGACGCTTAACAATGAGCATCTTTTTTGGGTTTTTTGGGTTTCCAATTGCCATGTTGATGTACACACGTAGCTTCTTTCACCATGCATCTTCAGCAAAATCTCTCATAGGGGTACCCAGGGCTTGATTAGAGTCGGTATCTTTCAGTAGGACAGATCCAGTTTTGCTGTGGGTGGGCAGGAAGGGGAGGTTCAGATTTGCTTTTTAAGTCAGCTCGTAATTACTTTCTAAGGCTTATTATAGTCACCAGTTATAGTCACCAGATATAGTCAAAGGTTATTCATAAAAGCCACCTGGGAAGAGCATGGAGTTTCCCTTTTTTCCTTTCCTTACCTTTGTATGCCAGTCATGGGTGTACTTTTCTTGAAGGGAGTCTGCAGAGTTCTTTTCTTCATTCTCCTGAAAGATAAATATGAAGATGGATGATTTTGCAAGTTGCATTGTGCACGATCATCTGTATTTTGTTTCTTTTTATTTAAACTTCCTTAATATAGCATTTAAGCCAGATCTTAATCAATAGCCACGTACGCACTACAGCAAACTGCTTCTGATTGTCAACTGTTCAGTCTTTTTTTATACAGTCTGCAGAAAACTACATACTTTCTCTTTTTTCATATTTTCTGTGGTTCATAATGTCTGAGATTTCCCTTCCGTCCCTTTTCGCAGGTTGAGTATATTACTTGCTGTGGTTTATACTATGTTGACTGGGGCAAAACCAAGGTGTCCTTTGCTTTCTAAGCAAAAGTTTACATAAATACAGTTATGTTTCTGAATAAATGAGAATTTATTCAGAACTTTTCAGAAATTTCAAAATATTAAAAACATTTCCACCTGTGGAAATTCAGAAGACAAATTTTTATCAGACTTAAATGCAGTTACTAAGTTTTCTCATGAAAATGGTTTCTTTTTGTGATTTTAAGTCCTTTTCTTCCTCAGAATTCTCTTTTGTGCTGTTTTCTACAGCATAAAAACTAGATGGCAGTTTGTGAGCTCAGGGTTAAAAGGGAAGATTGTTTCTGTTAGATTGATGTTATGAAGTCAGACCGCATTTTTCATTGCTATTTGGTTGCCTTGGTGCCCTTAATCAACGTAGGCCTTTCTGTTTTATGCTTATGGGTTGTGAATTTCCCTTTGCATTCTCAGAATCAAAGACCTTATAAAGTATTATCATCATGCACACGACCACAAACTATGTGTTCTGCATCATAAATGTTATTACTGGATAATGAAGATGCTGTCTTATGCTTATTTCCCTTAGACTTTCCTATTATTCACATGCTCACCCTTGTGTACTTTTGTAACTTATCCTCTCTGAATATCTGCACTGTCCTTATTTTTTTTTTTAAGCAGGATATCTGTGCCAAATAAAGTTTTAGTTGAAAAATCAGTAAATTGGGCAGAGAAAACCTGTGTTGTAAACATCGACTTCAGGAACTGAATTAAATTTCTGCTTGTTCAGAATATAGAGAGAAACACTTGTAAAACATTGAGGAAAGTTTTGTTTGAGGTTTAAGAACGGGAACACAACTACTGAGGGCAGTATAGGCCTGAGGTATGTTTAGAGAATCACTGATGTGGTCTTAGTTCCTCCCATCCTTGGCTTTGTCGATCTGCAGGTGTGACTGCGCAGTCCGTGTGCTGATTTTGGCAGAAGCAATTGTGTGGAGTGTCCAGCGTCCACGGATTCTAATGTAGTGTCAGTTGGCTCTTGTTGATTTAACGTTATCAAAACTGTTTTAGGCTGTTGATTGCTGCCTTATTGGCATGTGCCAACACTGTGACATACCCTGCTTAGAGATTAGTGATGCTGAAACAACAGTCTAATGAACAGAGAGAGGTCCCTGCACAGCAGGAGTAGGAACTCGCTAGTTCCTGTTGAAATGAACAGAAAACACAAGTTCAACAAATTCTTCCCCCTCCCTGGGCAGAGGGAAGGAGTACTGTGCATGGGCCAATGTGCAGCCTTGTTCCACCAAAGGCTGATGCATTTTTTTCCTTTTCCTTGCTAATTGACAGTGTCAGGTGATACTTTGTTATATGAGGGCAAACAATTCTTTCTGGGTAATGAGATAGCAATCACAGAAAAATATTATTTTGGACTGTATCTGTTATCCTTCCTTCTATCTTCCTATTTTTAATCTGTCTCATTCTTCAGGTCTAACTTGGGATATTTGAAGGAGTATCAGTCTAGTGACTGTTTATTCTTGCAACTGCTGTAAAATAGCTCAGGTTAGTTTGATTGATAACGCATTCTTGCTACAGGCTTTTGTTGGTGTCTTTCATTCCTGCAGTTGCCGGTGTTGGGCGCCCTGATAAAGGGAAAAAGAAAAGTTAGAATTCATCGCTATGTTCATGCCTGCCTGTCAAATTAAGACCACAGTACCTCAAGCATTGTAGTGATGGTGAGCTCTGTAGGTGATTGTTGGATTGGATTACGCCTCTCTCCATGTATAGCTGCAGTAAATGTGTATGGACAGACACCTTCTAAGCCAGCTTAACTGTATTAGCAGCTGTAGCTTTGAGTATTATATGACTAAACGTTAACAATAAACGTGGATTCTGCACTCTTTAAATCAACCTAAGAAGGGTGATTATAATGCAGGTGGCCAGGACAGAACGAAACACTACTGTAAATGGCAGAAATAACTGTATTGGTATTTTGTCTTTCTGTGGGCAGCATCTCGTAGGTCCCGCTCAGCGTTCTTGTTTAGGTCTGCTGCGGCTGACGGAAACAGCACCTACATGGATGAGTTCATGCTGGAGTAGGGAGGGGAACTTCAACATGTCATGGTTAGCTTTGTGATTCTATACTCAATCCGAAAACCAGCTCTGACCGGGATGAAAAGTCACGCAGCTGAGTAGAACTGTAATCCTAAACTATGCAAAGAGCAGCAGTGAAACTGGGCTTGTTAACTGGCTGATCATATTTCTGGAATCACGCTGGTGCGGTTAAAACCGGAGTTTGCAGACAAGCTTGAGTAGCTCCACACTGTTTTTCCTCCCAGTCTTCCTCCTGTTTGACCTCCAGGAGACAATGTACATAAAAAGAAACCTCTCACACGTCCCACACTCTTGCCAGGAAAAGGAAACGATCAAATCGTTGTCTAGAACAAAATCCAGTGATGTGACAGCTGTTTGCTGTTTCTTTGCTGTTTTGCACTGGCTGTGTCTCCATGAATGTTCCTGCCCTCTGCGCTCAGTGTCTGGGTAGTGGAATTATGACCCTAAGTGGTACCTAGTACTTCCTAAGTAGGAAGGACTGCGGTGATCCAGGAGCTCCCACTGTTCTTGATGCAGCTCACCAGCTGGACAGGAAAACAATATATTTCTTCTTTCTGCAAAAGATTCTGAAATTTGTTGCTCAATCCATAGAAGTTTTAGAAAATAAGGTGGCTTGAAGTAACATTAACTCCCAAGATAATATGTGATTCATAGTTTGAGAGGAGTTAGAAGGTATCGATTGTAAGCCAGCAGCCAGATGGTTTGGCAGTAGCCATGCCGTGTTACCATGAATGCTGGGATCAGAAAAAGAGTGCTGTGGGATTTTTCACGTCTTCGCTTGTCTCACAGTTGCTGCTCATAGATAGTCTACAAGATTTCCAGAGTATTCTGAAATCCCAGAATCAGCTCAGCTTTGTTCCTGGTAGAGAGTTGTATCACAGATTATAATAGCCCACAGAGAATTCAGAAAACTGGATGCAGGGTTCTCAGGAAGGCTTTCTTGGACTAACTCCTAAATTTAGCATTGGAGATACAGGGTTCACAAGAAGAATTTCTTGGACTAACTCCTAAATTTAGCACTGGAAGATGTAACTGACCCTGACATAACTGGTGCTGCATAACCACTTTAAAGCTGAAGTAATGTCTGCTCCTAAGACACACTGAAGCCATAACCCCCGCCCCTTTTTTTTTTCCAGTGTCCTGCCTGTTGTTTGGTGTATATACTGTGATTTATAGAGCACTTCTTTTAAAGAAGCAAATGATTTCTTTCTATCACAGACCATGAAAGCTGTATACTGGTTTGGGGCTGTTGCAAGAATAGGTACTACAGTCATGTCATTTGTAATGCTCCTTCACGCCGTTTTGCACAGCAGTTAGGAGACATCCCTGAAATTGCAAGGTCTTTAATTGTGTCAGTATTGACACTACCTGCTAGAACTCTTCACAAGTAGACATTTCTTAAAACGTTTAATAAACAAACGCTACTGCTTCATATTGTAAAATAGTCTTTTGACTTTGTATGGACTTAATAAAAAAGATTATTAGTTCTGTTTCCTCTTTCCAGACAGCGATGGCAGAAGATGATACTAATGCAGAAGAATACCCCACTGAAATTCATGATTATCTTGCAGCGTTTGAAAAATCTCTTGGTTCTGTAGATGAGATGCTGAAGACAATGATGTCAGTCTCCAGGAGTGAGCTTGTACAGAAGGTAATCTTCCTCTTTGCAATTAATACAAGAATACCTGAGAACTCCAAGGAGTCTGTTAAGCTAGCCCACTGCGCAGAGAAATAACAAATATGACCCTTCCTACCCTCGATACCTAATATTTGAAATTCTTAGATTTCAAGGATATTCACAGTGTCTTGCAAACTAAACAGTGAAATATATGCACTTCCAAGCTGAAAAGTCATGGTCTTACGAGTGAGTCATTTAGGCAGGAGACATTCTAGCTTATTCCTGGCCTTTCTGAAAGCGCCTACCGACTTCTCCTTCATAAGGGAGAGGTCATTCACATTTCTATCCGAGATCTTTTCACAACAAACTTAATGGAACCTGGATGTAAACGTGAATTGACAGCAGTGAGAATTGATCTGATTCTAGAAGTCTAGACTTGCAGAACCTGGTGCCTGAAAAATGGAACTGTCTCCTCTAGCTGTGTTATAATATAAGCACGAGTCTGTAAAATGTGTTTTGTTTTTTTCAGAGCATAGTCAGAGCCATGTACTGCCCGAAGACTCCATGCAAGCTTCTCTATCTTTTAACATTTAAAGCCTAACATGGAATTTCTTCCTGTAGGGCAAAAAAAAGCCAGCACATGAGGGAACTTCTTTATCCTCTGAGGATTTCTAACACAAATAAATTACAAAGAAAACAGTCTTGACAACACCGATCTTCTGACAGTACCCATGTTAGAACTAGTAAGCTGTATAATGATGTTATCAGAGTTTCTGGAAATTCTACAGGACTAAAATAATAAATTGACTTTGACAGTCAAAGCAAAAAACACCCTCATTACTTTTGTTCTTCATTTGCTTTACAGCCCTAAGTATTCCAGCTTGTGTTGAACACAGTCTGTCATGTGTGGTTCTAATGTTCATTGATTGTCTGTAGCTGCTACATTTACATTTGAGCTTCAGCAATCTTAAGACGTTTTTTCCTTTCCCTGATTGATACCAACAACTACTTTGAATTAAATTTCTGTGGAAAAATAGGGATTTATTTCTGACTATGGAAACAGTAGCCTATGAGCTATGTGCCAAGAGATTTCCGTCCTTTTGGCCGTATGGGACTGGGGTGTGAATACTTGCAGAGGAGAGAATGGTTCCGTGAGGGCATGGAAATAGATGTAGACATGATCTCAGTGACCCCGTGGCACAAAAATGTTCTCATTCAGTGTGTACTTTTTTTAATGAAGACATTCACAATTATAAAATGTGCAAATTACTAAAATGTGTGCACCTGTTGCTTAAAAATGTGCAAGTACGGTGTGGGTTTTTTTTTTTTTTCATTCTAGTTAGATCCTCTTGAGCAAGCGAAGCTGGATTTGGTTTCGGTGTACACGTTAAATTCAATGTTCTGGGGTAAGTATGTGGTAGGAGGAAAAAGTAGTATCTATGATTGCCATTTGAACACCTTCTAGACAGCTGCAAACATTAAATAATCGTATTTCATCGCTAAAGAATTAGAAACGTGTAATTATCCTGAGAATCCAAAATATTGCTGTTCATAGGGTAAATGATGTTGAAACTCCAAATCAACAACTGATATTTACAAAAGCTGACTTTGTACATGCACGAAGAAGTTTCTTTCGGTTCCTTTGTGGCAACCTCTTCTGTCCTTTTAAGGACAGAAAGTTTAGCCGTGTTAGATTTCTTTTTTCTTTTTCCTAGCTGCAATATTTGGTGATAACAGTTTGTCAGATACTTAACAACACAGTTAACTCCACTTCTTATTAATGGTTTTATGTGGAAACTATAGTTTTCCTATAGGACTGATTAATTGCGTCCTCAGACATAACAGCTTTCAGTTTCAAAAAAACCCATTTTTCTTTCTTATAGTGTACTTGGCTACTCAGGGAATCAATCCAAAGGAACATCCAGTGAAACAAGAACTGGTAAGGTTCTTACACCGTGCACTGCAATGTCTTGCCTTGCTCAGGACAGTTAACTCGTATAGAAGTAAAAAAAACCCTGTTTATATGTACGTTGAAAATTGATACGTTGCCATAATAATATACTTATGCTACATCATATTATGTAACTGTTCATATGTCCTGCTAGGCTGTCTAAAATAAGAAAGTCATAATTTTAGTTAGAAAAAGTACTGTTTAGAGCAAAGTTGTAGAGTCTGTTGAAATCGGAAAAGAACAAGATGAATGGTATCGTCTTATCTTTTATTTTCTCTGCCTCCGAGAACTGGATTCTGAGCAGAGCAGCTTTTCACTTGTATCTGTTAAATGGAAAAATGTTATGTGTCTGATAATAATTTATAACTTCCAGTATGGTTTGGTTTTTTTTTTTTATAAATACTTGGAATCATGTTAATCTCTGAGGCTGCCTTTTCTTACTTTTGTATGACTCTAAAAGTACAGTGTGGTTGATTTACTAGCGAAGACGGGAAAGAGCCCTCCTCCCCCTTCCAAGTCCTCCATTAATTCATTTTCTCAGCAGTAAAGAATCCAGTTCAGCAACAAAGCTAAAAGCTTTTTTGGCACCAGTTGTATGTGTATTGTCCAGTAATTCTGCATTAGTGACATATTTACAACCTATAATAAATCTTTTTAGGTTTGTCTTTATATTCCATTTAGATGCATGACTACAGTATAGGAGGCTGGCTATCTTGAAAATTCTGCTGACTTAAAAAATCAAATCATTTAGCCTCAAGAAAAAATAGAAATCAAAACTTACAGCTACCCATTTTAATTCCTGTATAAGTGAAAATATTAAATCTGGGCAATTGTGAAATACTTAGCTTAAATGTAATCCTTACATAACCAGAGGAACGGAAGATAGGGCTGAAAAATGTGGAAAGCTAGCCTGAATAACAAGTATACTTCTATTTTTAATTTTGTGAGGTCTTCAGTAGTCTAGACTGTATCATATTAAAACCCAGATCAGTTAATATTTCATGAGCTTTCAGTCAGTTTCTTGTTCCTCCTATATTATATAGTGTCTGAATATTGTGTTAATTTAGTGATACTAAAAAAATAAATTTTATCCATTTCGCTGTGGATATTTTATGCTGGTATTTTACTTCACAACTACCAGTCGTTTTAACTCTGAAGAATGAGTGAATTACCTAGATTCTTATCCAGTTCTCTTTTCCTTTTCCAAGTATCAAGGTGAATGACTGCACTTTCCTTCTGTCCAAGAGCACTGTGACGTTCTTATTCATGTGGAAAAGGATTTAAAAAGACTGTTGTATCATGATGGTGTTGGAGTTGCTCTCCTTGTGTGCGTACAGGGAATACACAGGGATTCAAACTGTATTAATAAAACTCACATGCAAGCGATCACAGTTAATTTCTTCTGTCACATTGACATTTGTCAACTCCTTTTTCCCATGTTGAGACGTGTAGGCTTGCCATCTGTTCTCATTAGCCACCTCGGTCACCAAAGAAACATCAGTCTATCACGATTTCAGATGCTGTAAAGCTCTCCTCATTAAAACTATGGTTTTGATGCAGAAAAAGTGGCCAATTTTTTGACAGGTTGGTTGCTTGTAATGATTGCTGAAGAAGTGAAGAACAGTTCTGTAGTGTAGGTCTCAACTTTTGTTCCAGATTCAAAGAGCTGTCAGTGGCCGTGTGAGAAATGTGTGAGTTACATAATATGAACATGGAGTTAGTCAGCAGTATCCATAAATGTTTCCATTATCCACATTTGTAGTTTGGGTATCGGGCAGAGCGCTGCATATGTGTGTGTATATATGTGACTGCTGTTTGTATTACGGTAACACCTAAAGGCTAAATATGTAGATAGGAAATCTGTCAGCCACCCTTGTATGTATTTTACAGAATTACCCTAAATGTCCTCTTTAGTCAGTGAAGAGAAGCGGGCTCTTAGCAGAGGGTCATTCCCATCTCAGAAGGATTTAGGTACCCTCTCAGAAAAGTCTTCTTCCTTGATAGCAGAAGTAGGTGAGGATGAGTAGGCACGTAAATGAGATTGTTAAGCTGGGAGGGTATATTTAGGTGCGGCTCAATCCAAGCCATGCTTTTTAGACACCAAATGACCATGGCAGGCTCACATGGCAAGAAAGTATCCTCTTGCTTTATGGAATGGCAGTGGAAACAGGCTTTTCCTGTCATTTGTTGTCTTAAAAGCAACTTCTGGTACAGCTGGAAATTCATCAGGCTGCCTTAAAGAGGTTTATTGATGAGCCCCCTTGACCATTTGAGGATCTTAAACACAAGATTTTTGTGTAGTTGCATGTGTAACGCTTGTAATGTCTTTGATTTTGTGCTTTTTGGCTTCGCTTGGACATGCTGAACTTACATATTTATTTCTTTTTAGGCAGCAGTCAGGCAGTATAATTAATCTGTAAATATGTCAAATATCTCAATATTATTTTGCCATCTTTATGTAAACCAAACTCTGAATTCAGCTCAGTATTTCTTTTTTCTAACTTTGCTTGCAAAGGCCTCAAGTTTGCAAAGAGCCTGATATATTTATTTAAATGATGCTGGTTTTCTAGGTATTATAGAAATGTACAGCGTGGAGAGCTCCAACCCACTGCTTTTATTTTAGCAGCCATCTTGGGAGAGTGGTGTGAAATACACTTTTTTTTTTGTTTTTTTTCAGGAGAGAATAAGAACATACATGAACAAGGTCAAAGAAATAGCAGACAAGAAAAAGGCATCCAAACTTGATAAAGGAGCTGCTTCTAGATTTGTAAAAAATGCACTCTGGGAACCAAAGGCTGAAAACGAACGTGCCTCCAAAACTCCTGCTAAAGGAAAAAAGAGAAAGATGAACTAAATTTTTGTTTCCCCGTATGTAAATTAGAGACACTTAGAACTTATTTTCAAATGTGTTTTGCAAACTGCACCCCTCTTGCAAAGGTGCTGTATAGCAGCTTTGTGATGAAGTTATTTACATGGTTGTGTTTTGTCCAGAACATTTGTTGCTGCGGCGATTGCGTTGTGTGTGTATCTGAAAGCGCCTTTTGATGCAAGAGAAGTAACATTTCATTATGCAAATGATAATGACCTGACATACCCTTGCTGGTAATGGATGCTAATATTGTTTTGCTCATAATGCTTAAGAATTCAATTTTTTTTTACATGTCCTTAATCTCCTGAGTATTAAAAAGTCTCAAACAATGCCATCCAGCCTGTGGTGTTTATGAAAGAGTCATGTTTACTTCGTCATTACACACTGTACGAAATGCTGCGTTTGTAGAGTTTAGTGTGTTAAACTGTTTTCTTTTCAGCTTCTGAACTTGAACGTATGTTGTATTCCCTTACTAACCGAGCTTCGAGGGCCACAAGCAAACTGCCTGGGTTTCAATACTAAGCCACTGGGCCTAGTCCATGGAAAAAGCGGACATCCCCAAAGGGCAATTTGGAGGGTCCAAAAAAAGGAGCAGTCTGAGGACAGCTATTAGGAAACAGCACATTCAGGAATTTCATTGGAATTTTGGCTGCAGTGCTCATCCCTTACTGCTGACACTATGAGACAGAAACCTGCTCTGCGGTGGTAGGAGTGTGGTCATCCATTGGTATTTCTCAAATCTTCATCAGAGAAAGCATTCTCTGGTGCAATAAAAACTTGCAAATACTCTGTTTTCCTCAAAGCGTGAAGCTTAGTCATTTAGGAGAGGAGATGTGTTAAGTTTCTTCAGAAGAACCTCACTAGTTCATTTTTCAATATGCAAAGCAAAACTCAATTATCTGCCCAAATGTTATTCAAAAATTAGCATTAACCTAACTACTTAAGAAGGCAAAATAAACAATTTAGTTCACCAAAAATGCAGTTCGGGTGGCGGTCTACAAAACTGGTAGGGAAGTGCTGTTAGTGTGAAAGACTAGATGATAAGAACAAATGAATCCAGTCTACCTGTAGCACTGCAAGCTGAATCGTGTGCAGTGGCTGGTGACTGTCCTTACAGAGTTGCACTGCATCATGCAATACAGAATATGGACTAAATTGATTTAGGTGCCACAATGAAGGTTCTCGTGTCACTGACTATCTAAAAATATGTATTTGGAAGTAAAAGTTCAATACACCAACAAGTTTATTAAACTCAAATCATCATTGCCTATCTCTAGAGACTTCCAGTGGCTGCTATGAATTTACACATTTCTGTTTATGATAAAGTCTTAGAATAAATAGCAATTCCTTCGACTAACAAGAGAACTTGCTTGTATATATGTTCACATAGGTACTTAACCTTGCTGCCTCAGATCTACAGGGCTGCTCAGGTGAGTATGCGTGTCAAAGGCCCATAAACATTTGCCAGCTGAAAGCTGAAACGAGAATGCTGTATTTCTGCAGATTAATGTCACAGTTGTGCCAAACGAAAGAGCTGTTGGACTCGGAAATCTTTTTTTTTGTGCAATTAAGGTTAAAAATGCAAAAGACCCAAAGTGTGTGTTCTTGACCAAAGATAACTACTTGCTTGTAAGGCAGTTAGTTCTTCCTTTGGTGCACTCAGTAGATTTGGACAGAGTTTATTTGGAAGTGTGCGTGTCTTGTCGTGTAGCTCTTCTAAGTCTGCTACAGATGTAGACTATCATAAACAGCCTTCTGGACTTTGTGTGGGTTTAGAGGTCTGCATGTGCAAAGCATGAGGTTCAAAATATTGATCTCAAACCCATCAATTTAAAATAAAAAAAGAAGGCCAGGTGTCCTATGAACTGATTGAGAAGACAGTAGAAGTGGTCTGAAGTGGCATGAGCCAATAATACAGAGATTTTTCTGGGAGATAGCATAGTTTGAGAGGGATTGTCTAGAGGAAATGAGTAGCTCAGCTTGTAAATTAAAAGGGGATTGGAGGACATTTCCATTACATGATTTTCCTCTTAAGCTTCAGTTATAGTTTTTGTTTTAAAAGGATCATTTTGAAAAGGATCATAATTCAGTGTCCAGTAGAGTACACAGGATTCATTGGTAGATGTTTAAACAAGAATAATGCCAGGCTATTAGCTAAGACTTACTGAGGTAGAAATCCATCTGGTATAATTAATTATATAAAGGTATTTGGCATTTGTGATAGTGCAGCTTAAACAGATCTAACAAATGCAACTTTGTAAACTTTTTTTTTTAAGAATTGTATCATTCAGTATGGTTGTTCACAACCTGAATTTGTGGCTTTTCTAACACAAACAACCCAGACAAATGCCCCACAAACTGAGCAGCATCACCATGTGCTTGTTATTCACTAACAGCCCGATTAGAAAGAGGCTTGAAATACACGATCATGAATGCTAAATGTTTTTAATATCACTTAAATCTTCTTGAGACATCTAGACTTCGGGATAGGCGTTTAACGTGCCTGAAGTCTCAAATGTGAAATGACATGACTGAACATCGTTTGCCGGAGTTCCTCCCTGGAAAAGCTACGTGAGTATTGGAATAAAAAGGTAACAGCTTCCCTGCCTCAAAACAGGAGACTGGCAAGAAGAACACTTATTGCAGCGGCTCTGTGCGTGGATCTGCACGAGCTGTAGTCTGTAGAAAGGTTCTAGGGGGCCTGAAAGGGAAAGGAGAACATCTGGGAGACTTGTCCTGTTGCATGTGCTGAGTATGGTGAAGAAATACCAGTTAATACCAATGGAATGTGAAGAGTTGCTATTATATACTAAGTTATTAGTAGCAGCAAATTAAAGTCTTAATGAACTTAAGATATTTAAAGAGAATATTAAGGTGTGTTTTGATTTTGCTATAAATACATGTTAATTAATATTGGTTAGACAGACCAGCTACGAGAAGCACTAAGAAAACTGCTGTTTCTGAGAACGTTTTTTAAGTAATACTGTGTTTTGATAGATGCATTTAATACATTATGCATTTTTGAAACTTTTCTTGCTTTCTAGTCTCTGCACCAAGAAAGCGATGAAGTTAGCAAGAGCGTTCAAAGTTAGCTGCTATGACTAGAATTTGATATGAGGTTGCACGGGGGTTTTCCAAGCTTACCCAAAAAACAATTCAGAAGAGAAATGAAAATGCAACTCGAGATTTTAAGCCCCACTAGTGTTAAATAACTACATTAAAATAGCAAACAGCACTTGGGGGCGTCGGGGAAGCTCTGTGCTTGGCAAAATTTGGAGGTCATTGGATAGCAGGGGCTTGATTCGTGGGCCTTAAAGTCAGTGGGAGACTTTCCACTTGGTCCTCAAGGACTTTGGTCCTTGAATTAGTGTGGCTGCATTGACCTGCTACAGTTGGACAGGAAAAGTAGATTACTTATCACATCAGTGGCTCGGGACGTTGTAGTAGAGTCTGGCCACTACTCAATGATTTTTCAATGAATTATCTTTTTCATGATGCATTTAAATGTCGAGTGAAAGATTTCTTCCTTCTACACATATGCTTCTCCGAAAAACATTGCAGGGAGAAAACTCCATGGTGTTAACTGTCCCAGTCATGATTTTTACCAGAACAAAATGGGCAGCTTTGACCTGAGAAACTACATTTTCTCCCAACTGTGTTAAGTTTCTGCAGATCCACTCAGAGGAAACCTCGCTCTGTTTAGCGTGGCTGCAAACAAACTAATCTTAATAGAACGTACCCTTATAAATGCTAGCCATGAGTTGGGACGTCAACACATCACTGGTGCTCGTTACTACTCCTTCAATGTTTATTGCTGGAGAACTGCATCCTCAAAAGTGTATGTTTTATTAAGTCATTCTATTTTCTCCTGGCCTTGAAAATCAATCCTAGCATGAAACTTTTTGACAAAAAGTATAAATGTTGCAGTTTCTTTGGAAATCTCCTCAAAACATAGTTGTCTAGAATGAGAAAAGTTAAACAAGCTTAATTTTTTCTCAGAATTAAGAATTGGATTTAAGAGGGTAGTGGGGCTGGGACCATTACAAATGTCAAGGGAAATCCTGGTTTGAATAGTAAATGACATGCTTTGCCCAGGGATTGATGAAGACCTGGTCCTGCAGCCCCAGGAGAGACCCGGATTAAGGCTTCTGTCAGCTCTTGGCTTTTGGGAGTTGTGAACAGCAAACTCTGTAACTGGAAACATGGGTGGAAGTGTGTCAGTGTAAGGAGTTCTGTGGTGTGGGGTTCCTTCTGGCAAGATCTCACTGAATTTTTGATTCAATTCATGCAGGTTCTCCTCTACTTCAAACTTCCCTGTTTAACATTGCTACAAGCTGTGATATGTGCCAAGTTATCATTAAAAAAAAAAAGCACCATCTTGACTGCAATGTCATTTCCTTCCCTCAGACGTGTCTGGCCAGTAACGCAGAGAGTTAAAGTGTAAGCAAACAATAGTAAACTATTTTTGATGCGAATCAGAAGTGGGGGGAAAATAATCATCTTCAGCTACACGGTGACCTGCAAACCAGAATGTAATTGGAGAAATAATCGCGAGGCTTTGCAGAATGTTCTGCCTCTCCAGAACAGTAAGTCTGACAAACTTCACGGCAAAGAAACTTTCCAACGTAGAGAGCCAAAATAATTGAAATTAGTTGCATCTCAAGTGTCAGCAGGTTTACTCTTTTGTCATAAACTGAGGTATAAAGATGCCAAAACAGGGCATTAACTAACAAGACTATGTACGTTTCTTAAAAATCTACTTGCCAGTGATTGAAAAAAATCTGCTAGGGTACAGCAATTTAGGGGAAATAACACAGAAAATAAATGATGCAGTTTGCCATTTCAGAATAATGTGACGCATGACTGGGAGGTTGGATTAAATGATCTCTAAGGTCCCTTCTAGGCCATCCTATGATTCTATATTAGGAAAACACTGAAGTTCTGCAGTTTAATTTTTCTTTTTGATAATTTGCTTCGAGTGATAT